TATTTGTGATCGTGGTGTGGTTTCGGTAAAATATGTTCAGTGGTCGGACAAGAACGCTTACAAGGAGACGCTGCTGAAATTGGCTGGGCTGTTCCAGAACAACTTTGGAGGGTTTGTGGCTCACAAGATTGGAAAGGACGACAAGTTGACTGATGAAATCCTTGCTGCAGGTCCGGTTTTCTGATCAGCCACCGGAAAGAAGAATAAAAGAATATGTGCTTGATTAAATGAAGAAGGAGATGTTTGTTTTTTCATGGCAAGTTGTACTCTGATGTACAAAAGGCTTCAGTGAATTGCCTCAACAACATAAGGCTTTTCAGTGAATTGCCTCGATTTTTTAGGAATTGACGCAATTAATTTTAAGCAATTTAGTTGGATAAGACGCTAGGCGTGTCCTAATGGTACTATATTCGACTAAACATTGGGATACTTTCTTTCAATTATCTCTACAAGTAATATAAGGTGGAACTATGGAGAACAACAATTTTAAAGAGAAGTATAATTGTTAGTGCACAAGATGACATTCAACTTTCAGAGAAGTGAGGCAAACAAGAAACGTTGGCCTCTAGTCAAGTTTATTCTGCTGTCATTGGGTTTTAAACAAGTTTTATATGAGGCAATTCTTTAGTTAATTAGTGTCCCATTTAGTAAATAAAATTATAGATTAAGCGTACTAAGATCAGTGTTCTAAAAGTCGTTACATGCCAGCTAGGTGCTCGGCCAACACTTAGCGCCTAGAGCGCCTGGGCGGGGCCTAGGTGGCGCCTAGTCGGGGTCTAGAAATCAATATTAAATACTTTATTTTTTATTTATTTTAACTGCCGACAAAATAAAAGTATTTCAACTTACAATAAATCGACACGCCTAAGTTCAAATAATAATATTAATATATTTTAAAAAAACATGAGAACAAAATAATGTAATTAGTATTTAAAAAAATAATAATAAAATAAAGAATTGTCGCCGAGCTCGCCTAGGAACGCCCAGACGCCGCCTAACCGCCTGACCACGGAGCCCGCCAAGTCCGCCAAGGAGCGCCTAGGACCGCCTAGGCGCCTGACCGTTTTTTCTGCCGATTTGTGCAAATCAGAGGCGCCCGACACTGCTTAAGGGGTCCCCTAGCCTATTAGAACAATGATTAAGATATCTTTAAATGTGCGTACGATAATTGGCATATTACACGTGTTGCTCAAGAGAACCCAAAGAAATGCTCAGGGTTGGTTCAAATGATTAAATAAAAAGGTTGTTTAGTTCACAATGCCAAATTATAACTAACAGATGATCAAGAACTGTAGAGCTCGTAAACTAAAACAAATGATTAGACATGTATTGATGTGAAAAATACTCTGAACCGATTAATGAACCAATGACGTCACGAACGTCTGATGCGAACCGGGCGTTGAGCAGCTCGCACGGACAGGAGCACCGCACAACCGGACACCACGCAACAGCAGGGCAGGCCAACACGCCTCCCTCGCATTGCGACAACAGTCGCAGGGCAACAGAGACCGGAGAAGCCCAAGTCTCGCGCTGCAAAGCTGTGTCGCAGCATGACAAGTCGGCAAGAACCAGGGACATGGGTGAAAATTCCTCATTTAGTAACTTAGTTTGATTAATTTATGTTCCCTAAGACGACCTTTGTTACAATTCGTATCTTTCTTTCTTTAAAACTCGTGTATCTTTCTTTCGGAAGAAGTTAAGCAATAAGAAATAAAAAAAAAATGCTAGCGTTCGAGCACAGATCTCGTGTTTAACCGACGACTGTCAGCGTAGGTTATCACTATTCTTATCGACAAATACACGATCTTCATCATTGGTGCTTTAATTGAGAAAACATGTTGTGTATTGTCATGCAAAAAAGGAAACGGATCCATCGATTGGAGAAGAGCATACATTTCATCAATAAGGACGTCACCCGACAAATCGAGTCATCGCGCGGATCAAAAGAATATTGTTCCAAAGGGCCGCCAGACGCACGCGAATGGGCGATTCAGATCGTCGTTAAGCACGAAAAATGACAGGCGGACCTACCGAATCCAAGAAGAGACATGAATTTTTGAGTGAATTTACGGATGACAAAACAACCGGTCGATGGGGTCGAACCAGCGAGACGAGCACGAATGAACGCCATTGAGCGTCATCGTTCTTATTGTAGATCCCTGAGTTTCCGGAGGCCTAGAAGCTGTCGAGTTTTTGGATGAGCAAGGGAAACCGAGTATGAGAGTCTGCCTATTTTTTATGATGAGACCCATGAGACGGATGAATGTGGTGCTTATTCTCTATTATTGATTGCGGATAAAGATGAACAAGTGCAACATGTCTCTTCGAACAATGCCAAATCTGATCGAGGAAGATGAATTAACATCACAACCCAATAAAGTACCAGACACGGCCGTGAAAGGACTGCAATGCGAGCCAGATATATCATTGCTTGAATTTTTCAATCCAATGGTTCAGGCCGAATTGGAGTTGAAAAGCAGGAAGAGACGATTCTTGAGGCTAAAAATTCATCCAAGATATTGGAATTAAAGGGAGATTCATTGGCTTAGAACGCTAAAGAGCGCAACCATCGGTATTTGTAAAGATCAGGGACATCGAGGGTTCCTACGTTCCCATCGAGAGAACAACGGCGACAAGGCTTGGTCGCGCCAGACCGGGAAGACGATGATGGTGCCATACGGCTGTGTAGACAAGACAAGGTCCAGCCGAATTACAATTTACGGGGGCAAGGGCCGTGAGAATGCGTGTTCATTGCAAATTGACAAAAATAAGGATCATCTAAGACCGACTAAGGTGGCGGGTATCATTGGCAACAAGGACGTCGTGGCTAGGATCCAAATCATCTTGAGTTAACTATCCATTAAGAGGCTTCGTCGCGAGTACATTCTGCTTGGTTGCTCCCTCGAAGGCTTGATTTATGAATGTCCCGTGCTAGAACATTTTAATCTTGGTGCGAGGGAAAATTGTGGAATTCCATTGCATGTCTTTTCTCGTTATGAAGAGGTTCGTTATGGATTGTGGCTACCCTCCAGGTTGAAGATTGAAACTCCCTTGCTTGAAAATCTTGTATTGCATTTTATTAATCCCTGCGATATCTCAGCTGGGTCGGTAGCCTCCTCGATTGAAGCATATATTGTTGATTATTGTTGATTGTTGCATCAAGTGATTGAGAACGACAATCTTTATTCTAATTCTATGGTGGAACTTGTGGCCAACGGTGGAAGGTGATGTTAGAGTAGTATACCCAGAGTTCCAATTTGATTGGACGTATTCTACTTGTAAATACGATCTATTGGAATTATATTGTTAATAAGGTATTTCTTTATCTTAAGAGTAAGC